AGACTGACCGTATATTGGCTGATTTGGTCTTCAGGTCGTTCCAGCGCTGGTTCATATCATCCAGTCTCTGTTGGAGGAAAACTGCTTCCTCTGAGCTCCCCAGAGCCTTCACCATCTTCATCTTATTCCCATCCACACTCCTGAAGACATCATTATGAGCCTCGATCTCCGCCTGGATGTCCTACACACACAGAGAGAGACAGAGACTGCTTTAATTGCACTGTTACCACCTTCATTATGTCGATTCGTTAAAGGAAAAGATAAATAAATCAACAAAGACAGACAGAGACGTTTCCACACCTCCGCTGAGAGGAGAAAACACAATTAAAGCTGTCAGTCTGATACTGAACCTCACCACCCACACCCACACCCACACCCACACACACACAGCATACTGAACTGAAGATTAATCACACTACACCTGAAAGCACCCATAAAGACATTCAGCACATAATCTACTCATTCACACCATCCAATAGAATTATTAGTTATGAACTAATACTGAACTTTTTTATAATATATTTTTTTGTTTAATTTTGTTTACTTTATTTTTATGTCTAATTTTGGTTGATTTAGTTTCAGTAGATTATCGAGCTCGTTTTCATTCCTTATATAACACAGCACCACAATTTATATGACGAAAACACAATTTATCAGCACTTACATCATGTTTAAAAGTAAAACTGTAATATCAAACTGCCTTGAAAGTTTACTAGTGAAATGCACAACACTACAGCACACTGCAGGATTTTCTGTCTAATGTTACTCTGGATATTTATCATACATCAACATCGATTCGATCAGCAGTTGCTGTGCTGTTTGTTTGTTTTTTTCTTTTTTTGCAATTTTTTGTCTTAATCGTGCTAATAAAGCTTGCTTGAATTTGAATGACACATTGAGACATGTAGAGGACGGTAGAAGGAGGTTTGGGTCTTTTCCAGTTCATTTGCAAAGTGCACTCTGCTACTTGACAAACTCTCTCTCTCTCTCCGTCACTCTTTTAAACAATATACACCAGAATACCAATAAACACACACAACAGTGCTAACTGTATGCTGCTGAAACACACATCAGAACGCACAGAGATGAAATAAAGTAGTGTTATGTTGAAGGTCCTGATAGAATTTAATGAGAAAGACACAAGAACAGACTACTTACACTGTAAGACACTGTCTGACTGACATATAAATGGACTAACAGATCTTTTGGATATCTGTATATCTGTATTAATAGATACAGAATGGTCTCAAACAACAAAACTGTCAGTGAACAAAGAAAAGAAAAAAAAAAACCCACAATGTCTCAAACAACAAAACTGTCAATGAAAAAATCGAAACAAAACCAATTGTCTGAAACAAAGCTACCATTGGAGGGAAAAAGAAACTCAAAAAACAAAATGTTTCGGAAAAAAAAAAAGACAAACAAAAAAACTTCATGGACCTCACAAACTTTGGAAAATGCAGTGAACACATCTTCCTCAAAAGATGCTGTCTGGTTTGAGGTAAACAGGACTATTTTTCCCAGGTGAACAGCGACAACCGATGCCCAGAATAAACACAGTCAGCCAATCAGATCGGAGCTTGCCATTCTGGATGCTTATTGTCATTTATGACTGCAATTTGCATCAAGCGAGCAACTGCCTAATTCTCATGACACATGAACACACAGAAGCAGCAGACTGAAGCTTCAGCGCTCTAGAAATCTCATTTCTGCTGTTCATCTGTTATAGTTCTTAATGAAATATTTAACTGTGATCAATTCAAGCACGAGCCCCCCCCACACACACACACACACACACACACACACACACACACACACACACACACACACACACACTAAAACTCCCTCATCTGGCAGTCTGACCTATTAAACGAAGCAATAAAAAAGCTTTTCTCGTTAATAAAGTTAAATAATTGCTTCTCGATCATAAAGACTCCCCAGAGCTGTCGTTCAGTGTGCTCTAATTTAACCAGACTTACCCACAGACCCAAGAGAGAGAGACAGAGAGATACAGGTTAAAAGAAAAAAAACTGACATTTTCATGTTTGACCTTTCCTTGTTTGTTGGTGGAAGCATCCTCATGGACTAACACACACACACACACACACGCACACACATACACATACACATACACACACACACACACACACAAAGAAAAAAAAGAAGATAGAATAGAAAAAATATAACGCTAGTGTTTGTTTGTTTTTTGTTGTTTTTTTAATTAAAA